GTATGCTAGATGAAATAGTATCACAGAAAACACTGTCCCAATCTCCTACACCTCACCATTTATGCAGAATTTTTTTGATAACAAAAGACAGCAGGGAGCTTGGAACAGTTCTAGGATAAAGTAGTTCTCTGAGTTCAGAAACAAGAATTTTCACGTTCCCTCTCTTTGGAAAGTCCCATGGCTGTCACAATCTTCCAGAGATTTTCTTTTCAGACTTGGACAGAGCAAACAAGGACTGCTCCAACTTCCTCTGTATTCAGTGGGAACAATTCAGGTTGACTTCAGTCAGATTGTTCATGCCCTTAATCTCCCTAAATGTACTGGAATTTGAACAAGCAGCAAACACTGATACTACCAGAGAAAAGAAGGATGACATGAAAATATTTCCAAACAGAAGAGATTTACAGGACAGTTGGAATTACAGCACATTTATTTTCTTTAAAGTTAATGAGCGGCATGATCCAATAATAGTTGTATCTTATGCTTTTCATAAAGATCTCAAGGCATTTCATAATCAATTAACAGCTCAAGCACGTCATCACTATAGAACATTTTGCAATAAACCATTAGGAATTAATGTAGAGTGAGCTTTCCATCTTTGCTAAACAAACTGCTACACATCTAGGATCCATGCCAAGCAGGCTTTGAATTTTTTAATGAAGATTAGACACATTCTCTGCAAGCAGAGGATAAGTCCCTGTGCCAGGACTTTCTATTTGCCTCCTCCCCACCACCTGCAATTTTTTTTACGTTTTACCATTTCTCTGTATTTTGGTGAGATTAATAAAAATCCAATCCTCTGTGCTGCATTACCTTCAATTCAGATGTTTAGGACAAGATGGATCACAATAAATGCAATATGGAGGAGTTACACTCCTGGATTGAAAATCAATCCCTACAGCGATTTCATGTATTTCTGAAGCATTCCTTAATAAATCTGTGTGTAAAAATTCCAAATAAACTTTTGTTGCCTCGTCACAAGTCTTGCTACTCCTGTTTTTTCTGTTTAATAATTCTGGATATAGCCCTACCTCCTGAGATTAAACACAGTGAAGAGGGAGACAGCACCTATGTAGATTTCTCCAAGCTGTTGTCAGACCTAGGAATAAAGTGCCTGGTCCTCACGGGTATTTTAGGGCAGCAGTTACACAATTAGGCTCCTTATATTCCAGAGAAAATGTCTGGATCTAAAATTCAAGCTTGCACCTGAACAGCTCCCTCGGCTGGCAACAGCAGCCTATTCCTTCTCCACTTGAAGCACTCCCGGCTTCCCTCACTAATCTGCCCAGCAACAGTTTGTCCCTTCCCTTCCCTTCCCTTCCCTTCTGCAGCAGTCTCCTGTAAGCATCCTGCTCCCAGATCAGCCGTAGCAGTTTATGGTAGGATTTACAAGAGTTAAAAAAAAAAAAAAAAAAAAAAAAAGCAGCTGCTTCTTCAAAGATTCGACTGCTTAGATGTCTGACTTTTGGCCCCCACCCTGACAGCATCACACAGGAGGTAACTTTTAAGCTGTTTAAGTGAGACATGTTTTTGTTTAACAAAGACGGCACACAGTCTATGATTAATCTTTTGCATGAGAGACATGGCAGTTTCCCCACTGTTTTGCAAGACAATATGGTTTGATTGCTTCTGCCTCCTGTCAAGCCTCCAACTGGAAATGTGTAATATGAAATGAAGTGCAGTAAAACAGATAAGAACGTGCTGAGGTAGTTAAAACAATACTGGAGTAATTAAGGCTCTATATCTGTATTAGAAACAAAATAAGCCCACTGTTTGGTTTGATTAACACTGCAGGATTGTAAGGCTGCCAATGACACATCTCTATACAAAGCAGAAGATGTGAGGAGTCCAAGAGTTGTCCCAATGGGAAGATGTGAGAGTAGAGAAGCCATACCAGTTGGAAGATGAGTTACCAAGAGCTGTTCCGGTGTGTAGATAAGAGATACCAAGAGCTGCCCTAATGGGGATAAGAGAGTCCAAGAGCTGTCCCAAAGGGAAGTCAGCAGACCAGAGGTCACAAGTCTGGACGTGTAAGGGCTGCAGCCTGCAGGTGCCAGCCAGTTCCAGTTGGTTCCAGCTGATTCCAGCCTGTTCTGCTCCTGTCAGGCGTGGCCCTCTGTGATAGAGGAGTGGCCCAGCTCCTCCATTACACACCATGCCCACAACAGCATCCTGCACACTCACAGGCTGTAACAGTGCCCTGCACACTTGCACACTGCCCGAAAAGCAGCAAAGTTTGACAGTAAAAGGTGCACACTGGGAATATTTGATTAATTTAAGGGTTTTTAGGAAAGTTTCTCCCCCCGACCAAAAACAGGAAAACTGTTCTTGCTATAGCAGCAAGTTACATAGTGGCAGGTCTAATGCTAATATGTATTGTATTGTTATTATGCACTTAGAGATGTGGCAAATGCAGCAACAACAAAGACTGAATGCCAGTGGCAGAAAAAAATCTAGCAGCAACTGACTGTGTAAAACATGAGGAATTCCTCCTGTGCGTGACACATTAAAAAAAGAAGCCAAGAGCTCATTGTTTTCCTGCACCAAAAAAGATTAGGTACTGCCTAAAACAGCAGTACTGAACTGTGAACTGTTCTTATTTATACTATATCATGCAACCTGATAAAAAAAATCAAACTAAACAAGGTGGGGACTGGAGAAGGAACGGGTTTTCTTGTTTGTTCTCCAGGGAGTATATGAGTTTTAATTTACTAAATATGTTATGGAAAACTTAAGATGAATGCTAAGCATGCAATGCCCAATGGCATACACTTAAATTTGCTCATAACACTATGAGATGAACAGCTGTGGTAGAGGAGCATCTTTACCTCTCACTTCTATGTGGATCACAATTGGATTCTGGTGCCTTTTGAACTGACTTCAGACTGTGATCAGTGCGACACTCTGGGTTAATCCACGAATTTGGAGGATCAAGTGCAACCATGCAGGTAAGTGCAGTGGAGCAGCTTCCTCTAACTACAAGTAAAGGGGAAGGACCAGCACCTCCACGCTCCTTGGATGCAGAGTTTAAATCAGCTCCTGTTTCATTGCTCCTGGGCAGCGATGTCAGGCTATAGTAAACTTCAGTAGGTCCCTAAGGTGAAATGAAACCTATTTAAAGTTGTTTTTTAATATGAGTTTGGCTTTAATATGGGCTTGACATATAACACTTAGGAAAAATAATTAATACAGTCTCTAGAAACTAGAAGATTCCCATTGATTTCAGAGGGTCAGAGATATAACTTCTAATGAACAATCTTCATTTTTAAGAATTTTTGATAAACTACACTAGTCACACTTTTTAACATAAATATTTTGTTTGGAAAGCACCATTTATACAGAAGTGTGTGGGGGGGTTCATGTAAAATTATCAATTTCAAAGCAGTTTCTATTAGGAAATAGTAAAAATCCTCCTCTTTCCATATTCTCCAAATTAATCTCAATATAGTTTGCCATTTAGTGATGAAACTCATAATTAAATTGAAGCAAAACATTTGGAATAGAGTAAGGTAAAAAATGAGAAGTCATCTAGAGGGCTTTTTATAAATCTAAAAATTTATTAGAGACAATTTTTATCCCACTCATTTCCCTGCCCCTCAAAACTTTTGTCCCACTTGGAATAAGAAAACTTTGGCCCCATTGGGAATAAGAAAAGGTTATTTAAAGATTTTGACAGAAAAAATATATTTCCCAGCTCTACCAAATAGCCTACTGAGTCTCAGAGCTGTAAATATAGTTTGCAAATCTTGCATCTGTTTTTTTGTTTGCAGGGATGGTAAGATATCTGTGTAGGTAAGTCAGGTTTTCCATGACAACAGTGTGTACTTCTGCATTTCTAGCCACTGGTGGTTCCCGAAAACACAAGAATAAAAGCATACAGAAAGAGAACCTTAAGAAAAAAACAACCTAGCAAGACTCTCAAAAGGCAGAATTAGGTAATGCATTGAGTAACTGAGCTTGTTCAAGTAGGTAATTGTATTAGTATTGACTCAGTGTAACCATCTCTCTTTCATAAATGAATGCTTTGCATGACTGGTTTTCTGTGAGTATAAATGCATTGGATTTTTTCTTGTTATTGAATTTTATAGGAAAAAAAACCCAGCTACACAGATGGAGTTGAAGAGAACTAATCTCTAATATTTTGTATGAGAGGAAGTATCAAACATATATAGCAGTGAATCCAAATGTGACTAGAGATTATATAACACCTGCTAGGGTGTATAATCATGTTTACCTCCACTGGGAAAAGATCCAAAGCCAGAACTCCAAATCTGAAGCCATCAGCAATGTACTATTTCAAATACCCCCATCCCTGACTGTGGGCTTGTATGTGGGTCCAGTTTCAAAAGAGAATTTCATGCCCAGCCCAGCTTGGTGAGATTGCTCTCATAGTCCCTCATGCTGAGTAGCACCTACTCATGGAAGTTATTAGACTGAAAGAGAAGGGGGCAAGAGTATCTCCCCACTTCACTTCTCCCAACACTGAAAAAAAAAGAAAAAAAAAGAAGTGCAATATATATATTTGCATTATAAGTGTAGAACCTTGAGGGGGAAAAAAAGAAAGTTATGAATTTGGCCTCTGGGATCCAAGGAACTGAATTATTAAGAATGTCCACAGATGTAATATTAGATATATTCATGGATACGATGTGGAGAAAGACTTTGGAATTGAGCCCAGAAAGAACTGCTGATACAAGACTGTTCCTTATGCTTCTCCTAAAATCTCCAAGTCTGATATTAATAAATAAAAGGGGTTTGGGGCTGGAATTAAACCTGCGTAGTTTTATGAGGAACAGGTCTTTACTGCCTGAGATGTGTCCTACAGACCAGATTCAAGGGAAAGATTTCCCCTGGAAAGATTAGAACATGAGAGCTGTTCAATCTGCATGGCAATATAACCCTCAGACTTTACAGTTGAGTTACAAACTTCTTTTCAGCGGCAGGTCAACAGGAACCACACATTCTCTTTTAATCATGCTATGTATAAATATGTTTTATAGTGACATCATTAGTGGTATTACTGGAACCCATCTGCAGCCAGAGTCTCCTCCACTCCTCCACCCAACTGTAAGCATAAACCCCCAACACCTCCTCTCTGACAGCAACATATACATTCCTCTTATGACTGGTCTCTCTTCTTTAGGCCCAAAGCTGGGTCGTGAAGAAGAAATTCCAGCCAGACAGTGTGAAATCTCCACCCTCTCCAGCCACCAGTCTACGCTATCCAGCATCTCACTTTTGATGGGTTTGGTGGAGAGAAAGATAAAAAAAGTACATCTGGCCAGTTTTGCCCAGGAAGTGAGGGGGAAAGGTAGAGAAAACTTCCTAATCACTTCAGGAAATCACCTGAACTCCTGAGAGATGACTTTTAATTACACACATTAATGTGATACAGAACTACTAGTACCATGAGCAAAGCAGGACTATAGGCACAATTCTGTCGCTATGCCACAGTCTGCAAAGAACAGAAACTCTTCACGGATTCATGGTTCCAGAAATCAAAAGAAGCTATAATGTCTCCAGCCCATAATCTCAGTACAGGGGCTGTAAATTTCTTCCAGATGATTTAAGTATATTTTGTAAAAAAAGATATCAGCTCTTTGAAAAAAGCAAAGCTATAGGGATCCACCACTTCATTGTGAAGGCACCCTACTGGTTAATTATTCACACAGATTGCAATTTATTTCAAGGTTAAATCTATTCCACTCTGCTTTTGCAATATCATCAAATGTGAAGGCCCATCACAAAGAATTATAGTGACATCCATGTCAAAAAGCACAGAACCCATCTTTCCACTAAACTTGCTAAGCACAAAGCTGGATAATCCTGCTATGTGATTTTCTAATGTTATCTGGAGATTCCCACACTCCCTTTAATTATATTATTTTACTTCCAGAGTCACTATAAGGTGATCATCAGGGAAGCAAGAGGAAGCAGAAGGCTCTGTTATGTGCCAGAGAGAATGAAGGGCATGCTGTAAACAATATCTATGCGCCAAATGCTACTGAATCTTTCAACAGATCATTAAGCAGTCAACAGCTCTGGTCTGGAAATACACTGATTGTTTAGAGAAAAGTCCACAACCAAATTGGTCCTTTGGATATCTGGCTGCTATGATTTTGGAAAAATATAAAATAGCTCACAGCATTAGTGCATTTATATACGTAAGGGAAGCAAATTATCTGCTGAAATTCATGGCACTACATATTAACTTTAAAATCTAAAGCTTTTTACACATAAGTTCCTCCAAAACATTTTGTCCCCTAACATCAACAGCAACAGAAGAAGTTGATGGCTGGTGTGAGAATCTTAATTCAAGTGACAGCAAGACTTTGCCAGTTACGTGTATTTTTATGTCGAGAAGAAAAAATAGAAAATGTCAAACTATACCTAAAAGTAGCTAAAAGCTTGTAAGCTAATAAAATTTAGTTCGCACTTCATTCTTTAAAAGTCTCAACTCTTCCTGTAAATAGTCCACTTCCTACAATTCCTAAAAGTTCAGTAAGAGTTGAAAGCACTTAGTAACTCACAGGAAGTTGCTCAGCACTGTGCCATGGTGTTTATAGAGCAGAGTTTGAAAGTGTGGTTGCTATGACAGGTTCTTCAGAGAGACACATCTTCAAACAAAGAAGACTCTTTCTCAAGTGTAAGTCTTCAGGGATTCACTGTAAGTCACATAGCTGTTAACACATTTAGGTTGATTGAAGGAGAGAGTGTTATATGTAGACATCAACTTTCAAAAGGGCTGTGATTTAGAGAGCTGCAGGTGTTGCTTTTGTAAATTTCATAGAGTTCAGTGCCAAAAGAGGACACAGCATGAAAAATTATAAGCAGATCAACTAAAGCATTTTTTTCAATAGAATGTACTGAAGAAAGCCTTGTCAATGTCTGTGACTTATCTTTCCACTTTTGTAAAACATGGTACAGATGTAACTGTCTAGTCTGACTTTTAGTCACAATATTTAGCTACCTGAAAGGTAAAGTATAATGAGACACTATACATTTCTCCTTCTTCGGTCTTTCCCAGTTTTGGAACTGCGAGCCTTTGAAAGCAGATGACGTACTCAATTATTATCAAGTAAATTTTTTATCTGTCTTTTGATCACTTGTGACAGCAGATGAAGTATAAAAAGACTAAACTTGCACTACAGAATTAGCCTGCAAAATATACTGGGTGTATACAACACACAAAATATAAATTGCCTCTCAGAAGTATCTGAATAATACTTTTATGGTTTTCAGGTAAGATCAGCTAAAGTTCTGGTGACATCACATTTCTATAATATCTTTCAGAATGTTACATATCATGTTCTGCTGAAAAAGGAATCTTAAAGTCCAAGAGTTCTGCTGCAACCTGGAGTACTGGGGAAAAAGGATAGTGTCTTAATGTGTGTTAGTCTTAGCTTCAAATGTTTATAGATCATATTTGCTCCTTGTGTAAATCAATATAATTCCACTGACTTCAATGGAGCTATGCCAAGTTAACACCAGCAGATGAATCCAGTCTTTTGTTTTGTATCAAAACTCACATCTTCTAAAGGTTATTTTAGGCTCTACACTGGGCAAATTGTTGTGACTGTGAAAGTGTTATTCAGGTTTCAGAAAAAGGATTTCTGCAGGATGGTGACAGTACAAACCAGCTTCTTCTACCTTGTCAATATGGCCCAGCTTTCTATTTGAAGAGCTTTTTCAGTAATTGTAAAGTCAGAAGAAAGCACTGTGATAATTTACTTCGACTTTCTATATATAGAGAGGTCATCATAATTTCTGGGCCCAAACCAGGAAAGCATCCTACCTCAATTTAGACATTATTATTACTGACAATTTTACAGGATGTGTATTACTTTCCCTTTTTATTTGCTTTTATGTTTTTAATCTCATTCTTAGTGTGAAAATTGTTGAGATTTAACTTTAGTTAACAGTCTGTTTCTAGGATCTTGTTCCATACATAGTTACTTCCAGTCCTGAGCTGCTGTGCTCCTTAAAGCGCCTTTTTGATACACTTGTTCTAATACAGACTGAGCACCAAAGATCTCCTCTCCAGAGGAGAAGGAGCATTACAGTCTCTGAGACAGTTCAGTGAGTGACATCTCTCATGAAGCAGTCACTGAAAACACAGACTAAAAGCCATTGGGATTTCTCATTTTTCCAAGACTACCAAACTACTTACAAATAAGTAATGGTCACTTGTGTTTTGAGGTAGCTGCTGAGTTAGAAAAGAAAGCATTCACTGTTCATCCCCTCAGGTACCATTGTTACCAGGACATAACAATTTCTTCTCTTTCAGTACTGAAATGACTCAGTTTGTCTTTGACTTCACTGGCAACAGAGAAATATCATAAGATGGAATTAATCTCACCCCACTTTCAATGTCTCAATCTGATCTACTTCTTATGTACTTTTCATAGTCAGAAAGAGATAAATAGGCACTTCCATGGCACCTCTGTCCCACACAAAGCTTGACAGATCATCTAGTCTGAGTGTTGGAGGTAACTGTGAGATTTCCATGTTGAATCTTATGAGAGAAAGAAGACTCTGAGGATGAGATTTAGGGGAAGTCTCACTGGAGATTGATATGAACAGGAAATAATGAAAACAAGAATCCAGAGTAAATCTGAAGAAAGTGTGGAACCAAAGAGAAATCAAAAGAAAGAAAAAGGAGTTCTTGGTAGGCAAAGGGACAAGCAAAACCAAAGGGTGCAACTGCACAGAGGTAGAAAGTATCTGTGCTGTGGTTCCACCAGTCATTGGAGAAAAAGTCCAAAACTGCCAGAGACTGTGAAAATCACAAATCCAAAGAATCTTGGCAAGCAACATCTGTTTCTTATTGTCACAAAATATTTTGCCAGTTGGGAAGGACATCATCTGTAGGGTTTTGCCACTGTAAGTTCCCAGAGAAGGAAACAATATTCAAGGGAAAGGGCCTTCTAAGTGTACACATACATGAACCCATTTGATTATATTTTGTATTAGAACTTGTAATGAACACCACAGTTTCTGCACTTCAGTTGCATTTTATGTGTGATTATTTTGCTTGTTCTCTCCATACATGCACATATGTAAAACCATATGTATTTATTAAAAGACTAAGCTGCTACTGTCACAGAAGTAGGATACAACAAAGGGACAAAATACTAAATTTGGCAATAGCATTTCCCATGCTTTACAGTACTGCATAAAACGAATCTATAAATTCTGAGCAGGTTCAGGGGGAAATTACTGCACACTGATAGCTCAACCTGAAAAGATTTTTTTTCTACATTAAGAATAAATAATAAAGATTATAATCCTGGCAGCAGGTTTTTACACCTACATCCAAAGGACGTGTAGGTTTATGACCTGCTATTACCTCTGACATAGAACAGTGCAATGTCTTAAAATGTGAACCAAACCTTTTACTGAGTTGTACTGCAAACTACACTGCTGCAATCAATACTCCAAAGAGCCCTATTTTTCTTGGGCAAGAGACATACATATATCCGATATTTGAGGAAGCCAGGTGAATAAATCAATAGCTAAACAAAAATGCACTTAATCATATCTGTTTTGGACAGATGCAGGTTGGAAAACCTGTATGGCCCACAGAATGTCTTCTGCCTAAAGCTTAGACAGGAATCTGTGTTTCCTAAATGGCAACATCCTGTTGCTGGGCATCGCTGAAGCTGGAGTGATCACAGTAGCAAGTAACTGTGTGCCAGCCAGGATCTACTGCTCAAACTTTTAAGTTCCAGTATAGTTTGTTGTTGAAGTACTTTAGCATAAATATGTAACTCGATAACCACCAAATTATGTACTTTGTAAGTTTTACAGCTTTCCTGGAATATGTAGCAAAGATTCACACATTCACTTTAACCTTAAATCGACTTGGCTGCATTTTCTTACTTAAAGTCAGCCCAAGGAGGAATTGAATATACACACATAATTTATCTTTCCTTAATGGTTTTAAGCGGTGACCATTATTGGATATTTCTCATGGTACTGCAAGTGATCATTAAACATACATAATAACCCTACTAAATGAGTAGATAACTCTAATGCCAAAATTTTCCCCGTTCAAAGGTACGTTTCTGCATGGAATCACTGCTATGCTTAAAGGTGCCCCTTTACTTGACATTACTTAATAAAGCGCTTTGAGATAACCACAGTGCGAGAGATGTTTTAGAAAAGCACAATTTTATTTCTTCTCTGTCTTAGCCCTAAGCGGTTGAGCATTATTTGAACATCAGCAACAGCATTTCTTTATGACTTCAAAGTCAGAACCTAACCTCAAATTGGCAGTGCACCTCGAGATTAAGGCTGTGCCCAGCACTCTGAGAAATGGATGTTTTCAGCAGAAAGAAGAGCAACAGGAGGTCACAACACGACAGTCTAAGATCACTCAATTAGAAGGTTTATTAAGGTTACACTAAGGTGCCTGTCATGAACACTCTCACAGGAAACACTTTAAGAAATGCATGAGGAAAAGGACGAAACCACTAAGCTTGGAAAGAGTTCTGCCGCTGTTATTAACATGGAAGAAGGGCAAGATTCCTCCCAACACAGCAGAAAGCTGTGTCAGGCGCACTGCAACCAATGCAAGCCCAAAAAAGTATTTTATTTTAAAATATGTGATCCTGACAAGAAGAAAAGACAAATAGATGTCTGAGGTCTTCTATTTTCCACCAGTTACAGCTACTGTGTGTTTAGGAACGCGGTGAGAGGTCCCTTCTCCGCAGTACGAGAGCAGCGTCCCTGTGGCGGTCAGCCTGAGCCGCGGGAGCTGGGCAGCAGCTGCAGGAAGCAGTTTTGGGGTGTCGCTGGTGCAGAGATGACAGCAGCTCAGGCTGCGGGCGACAGGGCTCCTCACTCAGCACACCCAGTCCCGCCGCTCTGCCCAGACAGCCCCTGTTCCTGCAGGACGCCGAGCCGGCCCTCCATTTTTATTTTCGGCCCCTTATCGCAGAGTTTAATCAACTCAACAGGCGCTTCCGTCCTGCTGCTACGCGGGAAAAAAAAAAGGAATCGCTCTCCTGATCCCACCTATTTCGGCGTTCTCCTTTGCGAACCTCCCTGCCCTGTGCTGCGCTCTCTCCCCACACGGCGGGCGGGCCGGCCCCTAAGGGG